AAGAACCCGACATATGGTGTGTGCATAGATTATTTTTAAGATTGTCTCTGTAGTCTAAGAAATCAAAAACTTCTGGTTCTGGCTCACAAGTATATTTCTAGAGTTTCAACAGAAATAATCGCATGAGGAAATATTCTGAAGAACAGATCAACTGACTGAACGGGCTTCATGTACAACAGAATCCATTCTCCTATGTGAGCCAAAGAGGCGTTTTATAATACCCTCCTTACAGAACCAGTAAGAGTAGATTAAAAAAAAAACTTATTTGCCTTGGAGGGGGGGGAGTATGTTAAATACAACCCTTACTGCATCCAAAATAATTTTTTCCAGTTCGGTTAAGGAAGATCGGAGGTTACACATCAGCAACCATGAATGTTGCTGGCCCCTGCAAGGTGGCTGCCGGTGGGGCTGATGCTGCTTCTAGCCTCGCTGCTATCAATGCCCTCCAGGGCTATCACTGCTCTCCAATATCCATATGATTAGAATGAAGGCTGAAGGATTTCTCTCTCTCTCTCTCTCTCTCTCTCTCTCTCTCTCTCTCTCACACACACACACACACACACCCCACTGGAAATTAAAATGTAATTATAATTTTTTTTCTTTAAGAGTCTTTTTCTGTCCACAGATGTCTTAATTCATAAAATCTGAGTTCAAAAGTTCCTTTTTACCTTTTATGTGTCCTATTCACTCACTTTTTTTTAATTCAAGAAAAAAAGTTATAATACATGTTTAGCCCACCAGCACCCTGTGACTGGGAAATATTTGCAGTAAATTTTACCTACCTGCAGTATGAAGGGGAGGGAATATATTTTTCTTCATTTGTGTGTTCACACATATCTCGCTAATATCTACATCTCACCCATCTCTCCACTCCCTTAAATACTGGAGTCAGCTGCACTGAAACTGAAAATCAAAGTGCCACAGTATTGGCAGTCCGAATCCCAAGCCAGTCATCCAAAGTTAGCCGACGGAGAAATGTCTACAGAACCAGATGTTGGACATATATTCTGACATCTCAAATAAACTTTGTTTACATAAGTATATGTTTCCATATATTGTGTAGGCAAGCTATGTTTTGTGTAAAACATACATAAATTTGGTCCACTAATTGCAGAATTCACGTGACTCCCCTGTAACCCATGACTTGCTGTATCAATCATCTGGTTATCTGGCCTTTTCTGAAGGGAGTCCATGGGAGCACAAATACTTCCACCAGCCACCATATTATCCTCCCCAAAATTCTGTGCAGTAGTTTAGACCACAGTCTAACCAACTGGGCTTCATAGCAGTGAGGGTTGGAACTCAGATCTTCCCAGTCCTAGCCCAAGGCTCTATACAGTATTCAATAACCTCTCTCAATATGTATTTTTAAACAGGTTAACACGACATGCACGCACAGAGAATATCCCCCAGAATATTGTCTGGCTATGGCTACTTTAGTCACAGGCAGGTGTATGCGTTGGCTTGCTTTGCCCACTATTTTTGCTCTTGAAAAGTTCCACCTCCAGGCGCTGAACCCTGACTAGCACTAAAGCACCCCAGCCTCTTCATTCACTGAAGCTTTGAAAAGGACAGAAAGTAAACAGCATTTTACCATCTTAACCCTCCCCCTCCAAAGGACAGAAGATTGATTTTGCTATCGGTTATTCCAGTTGAACAGTAGAAAGGGTCAGTAGAATTCAGCTTCAGAATCCAAGCAAAGCAACTTGGATCAATCCATTCATTAGCAGAAGCCATCACACAAAACACAAGTAGTTACGCAAGAGCATAGCGCTTTGCCTTTTTCTGCTGTCCACAAAATGCTATCATGCATCATTCCAGCACCTAAAGCAGCCTCCTTGCAGGTAGATGTGGGCAATAAAAAGAACAAGAACATTTGGAACAGGTGAATGCTAAATCTGGCTGTCCACTTCCAGAGATCTCAGAATACACAGGTTACATTGTTCTTGGAAGATGTGTTCTGAAGTATTGCTGGAAAATTGAAAGGCATGTCCTTTCTCCCCAGAACAGATATCCTATCATGCAATTTTAGCCAAGAAACAATTGCTGTGCAGGTTTTGAGAAGCAAGGTGGGGAGTTCCTTCATTTCTCTTGGACTTCCCCAACAGTTTTAGAAGTTCAGGATCCTTAAGCCTTTAGTTTGTGTATCATGTGATTAATCTGGCTCAGTTTATAAATGGCAGGCACCCAACCCAGCATTTACTGAGTAAGTGGATATAGATATGATCAATGACTGTATGGGAGACCTCAAGGGAACTATAGGCCTCTTGCCTTGAATCCTATAAAAAGCAGAATATAAATGTAACAACACAACAAATAAAATCTCAAAACACCCAATAGCACCAAATTTCCTTCATTTTCCTCGGTGACACCATCTAAATACCTCTGGAAGAACTGTGTCTACCTAAACAACCATATTCTTATTTTTAGTTTCCTAAGTAGTCCTATTTTTAATGAGTGACACAATAAGTTCCTAACTTTAAACAAATTATGAATATTAAAAGTTGCCAAAATTTATCTTAAGTCCCTACAGTGTAGTATTTGAGAGCTTTAGCTTGGTCCATCTCCTAAGTTAACTAACGTAAGTGGATATTTATAGAAATCAATTTATTTCAAATATCCACTTACGTTAGTTAACTTAGGAGATTTCAGTTCAGTGGCTGATGGAGTACAGAGGCAACTTTTATAAAAGAATCCACCTATGTTTTTTTAACTGGCTTGACAGGCTGTTTATAAAATGCACTGATATAGCCATTCAATTGATTGTCATACCTCACACAGCAGTACAATAACCCTTACCAAAGAAATCCAGGAGTCAGTTTGCTCTCTAGGAGACTGTCCCTATTGTTCTACAAGTGTGGTTTCCCCACCCTTCCTGCTTTCCTACCAACCCAGGTAAGCTCCCACCATGTAACCCCCTAGTATTTATATCAACCAAGGCCTGAAAGTCTGTATGGTAATTCAAGAAGCCAGTACTGTAGTTGCTTCAAAAAAGAAAAAGGAAGAAAGTAACTGGTCTTCAAAGTTATTCAGTAGCTCTAATTAGACCACCTGTGAAGACACGAAGTGAAGAGTTCCTGAGGAATTTTTCTCTCCCTTTGACAGCCCCTTCCCATGCAACAACTGCTAAACTGTTCTCAGAGCCAATGTCCCAAAGAAGGGGCTGGTCAGTCCATGATCATAACAACTTACTCAATAGACATACGTGAGACTTGCGCTATAGATTAGGCACTTTCCACCGTCCTGACAAGCTTTGCTGACGGCTGCCTTGTGAAACAGGCACCAGGTGACCACCCTTCTTTTACTTCCATCTTTAGTTTCAGTGGAGACAAAGTTGAAGTGAAAACACAAGGTGGCGCCCTTGATCTACTAATCCAGAAGAAGGCCATTCATGAGCTGTCAAAGTCAAGGTCACAAATTCTCTCTTTTTTATAAATCAAGGTCAAGGTTTAAGGCCTTCCTAGTCCTGTCATTTCAACAAATACCAACCCTTTCCCCCAACTCTTAACCAGTCCTGCCAATAAACCTTAAATACGGCGCTCCTTCTGCATTTGTGGCCTAACAACTGTTTCTCATTTTCCTACTCCGGCCCTATTTTTATATCTTCTTTCCCCTGTTCAAAATACCTGACTCTTTAACCTTATTGAAACATTTATAGTTCAGCAAAGCTAGTTATCATGCATTCATTCCCTCTGCACTATAATTTATGGGCAAAATATGGGCTATATCAGTAATTTAAGAGAAGAACTTATTAGGACTACAAGAGAAATACATTCTTCATGAGGTGCATGTAAATACGGAGGGAGAATAAAGGAGGGTTTAATCAGGCTTTATTACAGTGACTATTTTATTAACAGTATTAACACTAATATCTATCTACAGCTCTTAGATTTTCATTTTCAGTAAAAATATAAAAAAGGGTGCACAAATACATTTTCACAGTGCGCTGATTTAAAAAAATATTTACAAGATAGCATCTTCTAGTGAACAGAAAAAAAAATAATGTGCTGGTTGAAATAACTGATTGTTTCAAAAAAAGTGCTGTAAAATGTATTCCTACACTTTCTAATGCGGCCTCATAGGAAAAAAAGAAGGAAAATCCACTAATTATTAATAAATCAAAATATAACATTAAAATCAAAATATCTCAAGGAAACAAAATGTTTTTCCCTCCCATTATGGGTTACTTTTGGATTGTTTCCCCCCAGAAAACGGCCTCCCGCACATCACAATGACAACCTGCATGTGACTGTTTGCATCCAAGCGAATATGCCAGTTTCTTGGATTTACACTGTTCAAACGTTGATGTCTAAAAACTGCAGAGTCCTTTACAAGAACAGCAGACAGCTGAGTAGAATATCAAGAAATCATCTGCTGAAAAATGATCTAGGGACATTCCATTTTCACCCCAATAAATCTATACTGCCTTTAGTTGCCTCTCCGTATTAGTTCTCCACAGAGTTCCCCTCATTATTAATATTTTTGGAATCTTCATTCAGTACCTTCCATTTAAAAAAGAAAACACAGAGTGCATTGCTTAAACATAAAGTTACTGAACATTTTGCACGATGTTTACCTGAGCAACCAGTCAGCATGCTTGTGTGTATGTGTGTGTTGCTTACACACACTGCCTTTTCAACCATTTTCCAGATTATAGTCCTAAATAGTGTCCTAGAATAGTCACAGTAATACTTACTCGATATTGAACAAATGTATATCTTTCTCAACTGAGACTGAATCTTTTTCTGCTTTAGGGGCGTTTGGACTCTATAGTCAGTCATTGAAATGGCTTCTTTTTGGATTTCAGGGAATTATCAGTCTTAAAAACATTTCTCCTAGTCATACTTTTTTCAAAAGTCATAGTTCCAAAGACACAGAGTTCTTGTGGAAGAAAAAGTTCATTGTCTTGTCTTTTTAATTATTATTATTATTATTATTTTAATCTGGACCAAAAATATAGTTCTTAAAGCTTTGAGCAAGCTGCCTTTCCATTTAACCCCTTAACTTGTCGTCTTCAATTTGTTGATGACTTTTTTCTCTTTCACTCTTCTGTTTTGGAACCAGATTGTGACCTGCCTCTCTGAGAGATTCGTAGTGGCCGATATCCTTCTCCGCTTGTCTTTGGTAATGAATTTATTTGTAGCATATTCCCTTTCGAGTTCTTTTAACTGGACTTTCGTATAAGGCACTCGTTTCTTTCTCCCGCGCCTGTAGGAGTTGGTATCTGAGGGATGGGAAACCACGTCTAAAGCAGGCAAACAAAACAGAGAGGAAGGCACTATTAAAAACTGTTATCGATTAATGATTGATCAAAGCATATCTTATCCCTTCAAAACGGGACTGAGATTAAAGCACCGTCTGGAACACTTCGCCCTGTGCACCACAGCGCTGCACAGAAACATCCTACGCTCAAATTTAGAGAGCTTTAGGAAAATTATGCGCCGTTTCAGTCAGCTCTGAAGTGCGCGAGATGAGGCATTAGTGAACATTCTTGTTAACTGGGGATACTTAATACCGGGCAGCAGACTTCTCGAATCGGTTTCCCTCCTCGTCTGCATCATAGTTTAATCATGCATATTTCCTGTATTCATTCCTACGACGATACCCCTAGCGAGGTTCAGTACCGCTAAAGAAGGGGGGGTGAGGGGCAAAAGAGGGTGGCCAGAATTCTACAGTGGCAAAGCGAGCGGAATGGGGAGCAACGTCTCCCGCCAGCGAGGAGGACAGTTCAGAGAAGCGGTAAGATGGTTGCTACAAGAGCTGAGTGCAGCGGCAAAGTACCTTTAAGGGACTAGATGCTGCAGTAACGCCCCGTAAAGTCATTGCTAACGGCTACAGAAAGAAAAGGAGTACCGTTAATCCAGTTTAATATTAAGACCAAAGCCAGGAGCGCTATTAAAACTAAAATGGCTGATAGCGCCGCAAGCCCCACTAACACCGGCAAGACAGAAACGAGCGTTAAGGAAGAAAACCGCAGGATTCCCGGGAAAGTCGGGGGACGTCAGTGCTCTTAGCACTGACAAGGCAGCAGCCGCAGAGGTTGTTGTTAATGCCAGGGATGATCCGCTACAAGAGGTAAAGGTATTAATACTAATAACATACCCCGTTAAAAGAAACCCTTCGGAAAAGGTTCGGATAGAGGGAGAAGGGGAGGCTGTGAAGACTGACAGGAGAGCCCTGAGCCGACCCCACTGGTTTTCAATGGACCCGCGTTCACACGAACGTGCAAGGCTGTACGAACTGCCCCCCAGGGGAAGCGCCTCGCGAAATGACAGCGGGCAAGCCTGGCAACCCTTCTGAAAGGGAGAGGGGAGAGACGAGATCCGAGAAGACGCCTCTGGGTGGACGGGCTGCCCCGGGGCTCCGAGAAGAAGCCGCCGCTCTGGTCCTCCGAAGGCGGAGGGAGCCCCGCGAGAACCAAGCCGAGGCGACCCCTGCTGCCGCCGCCGCGCCCGACGGCAGGGGCTGGGAAGAAGGGGCGCCGCTGTTCCTACCGCGAAGGGGGCACCCTGTGGAGGCGCGCGCGAGAAGGGTCGGACTCGGGCAGGTGCATTACCCGGCAGAGAGGACTTCCAGAGGTGGGGCGGCTGGTTCTGCTCCTTGGGGCAGTAGACCTGCCCGTTCCAGCCGTTGGTGATGGCCCAGGGCTGGTAGCCTTCCATGGGCAGCATGGACTCGTGCCGGGGCTCGCCGGGGCCTCCGAGGGTGGGCACCACGGGCATATCCAGGTAGCCGGGCACGGGCTGGTAGGGTCCGGCGGCGGCGTAGCCCTGGTAGAAGGCGAACTCCTTGGCGCGGGAGGTGAAGTCCTCGCCGGCGGCGGCGGCGGCGGCGGCCACCGAGGTGTCCATGTACTTGTCGGCGAAGGAGGCGGCGGCGGGCTGGGCGCAGGACTTGAGGGCGGCGTTGTGGTGGCTCATGCGGCACGGGTAGTAGCCGCTGCCGAAGTAGCCGTAGGGCAGGGCGGCGGGGCCGGAGGAGCCTTGCACGGCGGCGGCCGAGCAGGGGCTGCACTGCTTGACCGGGGGGCCGGGCTCGGCCATGCCGGCGGCGGCGGCGGGCGCCTCGCTGGAGGTGTAGGCGGCGCCCCTGAAGGTTCCGGCACTGGCTGGCCGCCGCGAAGTTGGTGCCCGCCGCCGCCGCTGCCGCCGCCGCGTGGAAGCAGGCTGCCATGTTCTTGTTGATCTCCTCCAGGCTGTTGTCGTAGAGGAACATGACGGGCTCGATCCAGCGGGGATGGAGGAGCACGGAGGCTGTCATAGCCCGATCCGCATTGAGACTAGTGGCTCTTTTTTAAAAGCCCCAAAGACTGAAAAAAGAGATACTAAATCTCCCAGACTTGACCAGGGCTGACGCGCCAGTGTCGCGCCAGGGCGGCGCTCATTGGCCCGCCCGCCCCCACGTGATATGCAAAACAGCTGATAAACATCTGAGGGAATAAAGTGCAGATAATTAAATAATGTCCTAATCGCGCAGGGGCTGGAATTCCAGCAGCGGACGGGACTGGCGCGCGGCGGCCCCCTTCCACTGAGGACTGTGTGTGACAAGCCAGGCCCGGACAGGGGGGGCCAGAGAAGAACAGGTATTTTCACCCACCCACCCCCCACCCCACCCTCCAGAGCGGGATCCTCCCTCCTTTCCTGCAGCACATTGTCTGTAGGACATTATTTCGGCTCCATCTCCACGCTCTTGTCAATGTCACTTCATCTCGAACCCTCCTGACTTCCCCCGTTTGTCTTGCTGCTCAACCGGTGGTTCTCCCCTCCCCCGCCCCGAGGGCCGTCCTGCCACCTCCTCCCGTCTCTCACATACCAGACTTAAACTTGTATTTTCTCATGTAATATGACTGCCAAAGCCCTACGGCTTTGGGTTTTTTTTTGTTTAAAGCGACCGATATTCCATAAGGAGGCCAGAACACCTCTTTCCAAAACCCACAAGCATCTGAAAATGTTTGTCAGCACCTGACATTACTCATCTTCTCCTGAACCGAAGAAATGCATTTCACTGTTGATGGTTGGTGTTGTTGGTTTTTTTTTTTAAATTCGCTCTGCTTTTGAACAAACGCTTCTCCAAGCTCTTTGGCTTTCAGACCAAACATACACCAAATTTACCCTTGAGGTGCGGTTCAGAAGGGGTTAAGTAGACCTCAAAACAAACCACACTACATTATTTGTTATTGCAACAATATAAAAAAGCAACCTACAATTTTTGCATGAATCATCCCCGACCATAATAATGTTGCGTGGGATGGTGTCTTTTTTTTTTTTTTAGTACTGAATGACCTCAGGGACTCCCCCTATTAATAATTTTATTAAAATCCCTTTAACCGAATTTCTTAGAGTTGCGTCAATGTAAACACATACAAAAGGATTTAGCTTGAGTAGGTGATTTTAAAAAGACGTTTGCTATGGTCATTTTTAAAGGTTGTACAGGACAGCCGTGTTGCATAGGAATTATCATGAGGATACTATTGTTTACGAATGCTCATTGAATTAATGCAAAATATCAGCGAATTAAATATAATAGCACCACAAAAACAATGGGATTTATTGATCAGTACGAAGAGCACAGGAAAGTCTTTTTTTCAACTGCGTCTCCTATGGATGTACATGTGACAGGTATTTATGCACTATTGTGTTCGCCGTAGACATTGCAACATTGTTTTCTCTGCATTGCTACACAGATGGAATTCTAAACCGTGCATTGTTTGAGGACTGTCTTTTCCTTGTATGTCAAGGAAGGAACAGATCTGTCAGTTCGCCTGTCCACCAGTCTGGCTCTTTGCTGAGAATGGTATGCGGGACAGGGGACTCTTGTCATCGAACAATATTTCAACAAATTCTCTTAATTGCAGCCAATAAAGCACTCCCTTCCTCGCCATCACCCCTCCCCAGCCTCCGCCTGGACGGTCTTTTCCGCATTCTTTCTAATAACCGAAGACAAATATTTATTTCTAGCATATTTTCATTTTTTTGGAAAAAAAATCCTTTCCTGGTTTCAGAGTTTAGGGAAATCTTTGCATCTTGAGAGGAGAGGGGGGGGTATTCGCTCCCCTTCCCTTTCTATTTGGGAACCTCATTCTTAGAAACCTCATTGCAGCGGAGCCAAAGTACAACCCCCCCCCACAGAACTCATCCAGCCCGGCCATGCACCCACCCCACCAAAGAGCTAAATGGGCAGCTCTGGTTTACATACGGGTTAGACAGGACTACAGGCCAAGGTCAAGTTTAAAGTTGCAGTCTAGCCAATACTGGAAGTGTCATTGAGAGCCCGAGGAGCTTGTCTGATTTGCTAAAAAGGAGCAGCCGAGAGAAAGCTAATCGCCCTTTTCCTAACTTCGTTTTTTCTCCCCACCCCCTCCCCACTGCTTCTCTGACTCCGGTTTCCAGGCAAGGAAACTGCCCTGGAGTTATGGAGAAGCTGTGTGAAATTGTGGCTTTCGAGACACGATCCCAGCTAGTGGGGATGGCCTGGGCATCCGGTACGCTGTTTGTGTTTACTTGTTTGGCTTGGTTCCAATTTTAGGGGGGGGGATAAGGAAGAGGGGGAGGGAATCGATCATTGTTCCTTCTCCAAAGGCTTCGTTAGGAGAGACCTGAAATTAAAAAAGAAGCCCCCTTTCTGCAAGCCCCTCTCGGATTTGTTATGCGTATAAAACATTAGCATAACTAATAGGGTCTGTTTTTCGGAGGTTCCGGGTGTAGGAGGTGGCAGATGGCAGTAAGGGGATAAAACGTGTGTGTTTAGTTATTTTCGCTGGTCAAATGTACAGTTTCTCTAGAGCTGCAGCTCGACTAGTTATTTGGGAGCACTAACCAGGAGGGTTCAAAAGTATTCAAAACCTTTCGGTGAGAGTCAGTAAACAAAGCCACGGACATCATTGGCGAAGAGGATTTCTGCAGCCTGTTGTGACTCTTCGGATGGTCTTTGGATGGGCCTAAGTCTTCTAGGGTATGAACAGCACAGCTTGAACAGGAAAACTATGGGGGGTTGCTCATGAACAGGGGATGTGTGAGCGTAGTACGTTCGAGGTTTTTCTTTTGCCCTTTGAGAATATTAAACTGTTCTGTACTACACAAACACCCAACAGCTGGACAACGCGTTTGCTCTCCTAAGGCAAACTGTGAATGAATGCAGAGTCTGGCCCAGCTACCCAGAACGAAGATATTAATGGAATGGGTGTGTGGATGTGTGTTCTTGAACTCGGTCTAGTTCTTGAACTAGATCTACTCACACTAATTGTCATCTGTTCGCACCTAAAGTCGCAATACAGTTGCGAGTACTTGCTTCTCTGTACTGCGTATCGTGTGTAGTCCATATAGAATGTCCACAGGCTTGTCCCCCTCCCATCATCTGATTTGTATGTAACACTATGAAGAAAAGCACAGCTTATGAGGCCCAAACTATTTGTCATCTGTTCGCACCTAAAGTCGCAAGTACTTGCTTCTCTGTATTGGTGTACTGCGTATCGTATGTAGCCCATATAGAATGTCCACAGGCTCGTCCCCCTCCCATCATCTGATCTGTATGTAACACTATGAAGAAAAGCACAGCTTATGAGGCCCAGGCCCCGTCTGTCTACAGAGAAAGAGAGAGAATGAATATTTTGGTTATTATGTTTATGAAGGATTGTTGGGATATTAATATCATGGGATGAATAAAATCGGGCTTAATTTACTCTTTTTACAGTGCCATCCTGAACAGAGTTGCACCCGTCGAAGCCCATTGACTTCAGTGGGCTTCGAAGGGTGTAACTCTTCTTAGGGCTGCACTGTTAATGTATCTGGAGGTCTTCCACCTCTTTCGCCTCTCAGCGAAGCAGGCAGCGTAGACAGGCACCCCCATCCCTTCAATCGGCCGCGACCCAACCCCTTCCAATGAGCAAGGTAACTGCTAATGTCTGCAAGGATTCCCGAATCACAGAACAAACCCGGATTCTCTCTGTGAAAACTGCATTCCTTATTCACGATTCTCCTGTCTGATTCTTCAGTCAAGCGAAAATCTAACTGGACCCAGTGGAATCGGTGGCTGGATAAAGGCAGACACTTGATGGAAGTGGACAGAGCGATTCATAAAAGGAAAGCCATGTCTTTTTGGAGTCTTCGGCTTTCTGTGCTTCTCTGGAGGGAACCGAGGAGCTTTAAAATACCGAGGGAAACAAATCCGCAGCATCCGCATATGTAATCCATGGAAGGTGGGGGGACAATATTGTCCCGGAGGCTCTTTAACAGTTCCCAAGACAAAATTATTCAAAGACGTTTTTAGACAAAGTGGGGGGGGGGGCACAAATCCTAGGGAGAAAAAAAAGTCCCCACTTTCCACCAGTCCATAGATACCAAAACTTAAACGCACCCATACTACCCTTTAATTTCTCATTAAAATAAAGCAGATCAAGACACACACACACACACACGATACAAATTACAGACATGGGCAGATGTACTAAGCCCCGCCTAAATACCACCTAAATATCCATGGATTTAAAGCCTCGATCCAGAAAACGTTTTCCCCCTCAACAAATCCCATTGCAATCCGTACGATTTAAGTCTGACTGGCTGGCTGGCTTGGTCTACTGGTTTCAGTGGTGTAATGTTGCGATCCTATCCTATGAAATCAGTGGTATTTACTTCGGTGTAAATTTGCATAAAACGGGCCTGTAAATGCGTCTGGCCTGCAGACGATAATGTTTCTCTAATTGGAATAAGGGGGGGACTTCCGTTCAGTGTAAATGTCCTCCGTCCTCACTAGCCATTGTCCACAATTCCACGGCGACAGGACTACTCTTCTACTACCACCAACCACACCACCAAATATGGCAATATTGATTTGTTGTTGTTGTTGAAAAAACAACAACAGAAACTATTCTGCAACCATCCGCCACAATTAATCCTTGGAAACATATTCGTTCTCTAGCCACCCAGTAATAATACAGCCCTTATTAAGAGTCTAGAAAACCCAGGGAGATAGTAGAAGCAGCCCTTTAATCGGATTTGATTTTCATGAGCAAATTTAATTCTCCCTCCAACACATTAATTTGGAGGTGGGCTGTCAAAGCCTACTTCTTCCATCAACCCCCCCCCCCCCCCCCCTCTTCCTCTGCCCGCTTTAAGGACACTTCGCATTTCAGGATATTCATGTGTTTCTAATGTAACTAAGCAGGTTTACGATCAACGTTTGCTGGACATCCTAACTCTCTCCCTCCCACTGAGTGCTGTTTTTTTAAAGAAAGATAATTAGAAAATAAGGATTTTTCCAACAGC